CAGCTCCAGGAAATCCTCAATCAGGTCCAGAGAGATGAGAGACTGACTGAACACCAACCTGAGGACCGATGAAGAAACACCAGAGTCAATTCACTGCATCTAACACTGCAAACCAGGGGTGTCAAGCTCAATTTTATCTCGGGCCACATTACCATCATGGTTGCACTCAAAGGGCCAGTTTTATGTATAAGACTATATGAAAAAAAATACATACCGTCATTTTCGGACTATAAGGCGCACCTGAATATAAGCCGCAGCAGCTAAATTGAATGATGTGTACATATATAAGCCGCACTGGACTATAAGCCGCAGGTGTTTTAATGTTTAATTACCATATGTAAGGGTTCGTGCACAGAGGGGATTGTCGGGAAAGAGATGGCTGTTTGAGGAAGCTCCCATTTATTAACATTTCAACAAACAAGTTGCATATTTGCATAACGTATTCAAGTGTTACCATTTAGTGCAATAGTAGCTACAGAACATGTACTGTGTAAACTGTACTGTATCACATAGCGTTTCAGACACACAAACTTTTCAACTTTCAAACTTAAACGGTGCGCTCCCAGCGCACGTACCGGCAGTGATCTACAGCAGCGGTTTTCAACCAGTGGTACGGGGACAAACTGTCTTGCTCTCGTAATGTCTGTCTGTCTTGCTCTCGTTCTGTCTCTCGTACCACTCTCGGTTCCACTTTTACATTTGCGCGCTACCTGTCTCACTCTTTTCCGGCCTCCAGCTTTTCCTGCTGGAGCCCGCCGCTTAAAGGTGGGGGTCCGCGGACCAGCCATAGAGCCCATAGAGTTAAAGGTGGTGGACTGTAACCTGTAAAATCCATAGATTTAGGAGGTTCCCTAGTGGCCGTTAGCTGTAAAAATCCGTAGATTAGCCGCACCGTTATATAAACCGCAGCGTCGAAAAATGGGGAAAAAGGCACGGCTTATAGTCCGAAAATTACGGTAATTGAAGTTAGATTGGGTTCAACGCGATCACTACCAGAGGTGGTTTGGTGCACCCTAAAAGTGTTTCTGGGTGAATGTACTTTAAGTGTAACTGTATTAAATACTATCCCATTGGCAAGGTGTGAAGATGTAAAGGAAACATAAGTATGCAGGTGTGCA